ATCAGTCTGGCGTTGCCCTGGTGACCACGTAAGCGGAAGAATGAACTGATACCATATTAGATTGTCATGACCTGTGATATATAAACTACTATTTCTACAGTTGCACCAGTTGAGATGCGGCGAAATGTTTCCGGAATTAAATCGTGCTCGCTTACAATGTTGTGTTCTTTGTTCATGACCCTTTGTCTTGCTTTACATTTAACAATCGGATACCAAATTATAACGCACCAGCGTGCGAATTAACCTTTGTCCAAAGGCATAACGTTCTCACCCGTCCTCAGATAATCATTTCCGCCGGTTACCACACTCACCCCTTAGAATAGCAGTCCGTTAGCCAACTCATCAGCATCCAGTTCAGATTTGCTCTTCTGTGAAAGCCCGTAGACCTTCAAGCTGCAATGCTCTTTCTTGGCGTACCACGTTGGCCGCGACATCTGACCATTTGAAACTTAATTATCACCTTTCTGTCGTTACTATCACGTCCCTATAGTTCGACTGGCATTCAACCTGGCGACTGATTTAGCTTTCTCCAGTTTACGGTGGGTGTGCTTGCTTGTCGATGGGAGCCGAATGACACTATGCAGACCCATTCAGTTTGCATGGCATTACTAGGATCACGTTCAATTACCTTGATCCTCTTGAGGCCTTGATCAGCATCCAAGTCTATGCATTGCTGCACAACACCCCTCGTCCAACTTTCAAAATATTACATCAGCTAGGCAGTCGTCACTGGTTCTGGTCTTCTTCTCCCCGGCCATAGTGTTGAACTTTTGCAATAAGTAATATGTGAATGACTGGAAAAATTCCCTGGACGCACACGACCGGTTTCACGGTTCTCACCGCTCGTCAGGCATGCGCATCCGGCAATCTTTTTTGCCTCATTCATGTACTTGTATTCAGGAAATGTATTTTTGTCACAAAAGCCTCATTTGCAATACCGGGTAAATTTGTTTGGACAGTCCTTTCAGAAGCAGTCCATTTACCCGGTGTTGCAAATGGAGTTGAACGGCTTGGTGAAAGCACAGTCAGAATTAGAATTGACCTGAAATATGAGGATCGCTGGTTTCGGCAATCCCAACTGATATTCCTGAGTGCACATTACGACCGTTGATGCTTAGATGACTTCTCTCGACTTTTCAATTGTTTAAGCTGAAATATTTCTACTTTAAGGCGTTTATACAATCCCAGAAGACGATTGTTCAAATTGATTACGTATGGCCTAGCTACAACCACTGCAAAAATAAAAGGCAGCAATAAGACTACTGTGAAACAACACCATTGTCGACTGAGACAGATCAGTGTCCTTCATTTTCCAATATTGATGCGAAGCAACTAGTAACAGTACTTCCGGAACAAGAGACATCGGCATTGGAAAATCAATCCTGTCAGAAGAGATTGTACCTGAACTTGTGGGTGTGCGTAGAAGTACGAAGCAGCTTTGCTGTCGTTCAGTACAATACCATTGGAGTGTTAAGCTGTTTGCTGCTCCAAGTCCCGATTCTCGGGTCCCCGGTTTCCATGACTGAACAGTAGGTCCTCGTATCTCTGGGGTTTAACTTATCGGCTGTTCAACGCACAAGATTACGCAAAAAGAAAGGCAACACCAAATGCACTTACATGCAAACATCGATACGTCTGATGGCTCATCGAGAGTTACGAGCAATTAAGGAGCCGGAACAGATTATGTATTTACACTGGGTCTTTGGTGTGATTCCTGTGACAATCCGCTATGGTAACCGTAAGACAGTGTACAACGTACACTCCGTCCACTGGGTTACGGCCGTGCCGCAGTTAGCGGACGCGTGTCGATAAATTCCTTCAAAGCTATTTTACCATTAGTCGAACCAGGAGCACACGTGTTTTGGTTAGAGCAAGAAAGTGAACGAATCCAGACGACGATTGATCCTTCTAGGATAACAAAACAATTGGATAAAATGATGGGATAGTATAAAGTGTGAGGTGCTTGGCTCCTGTGTGCGGCAAGATTTCTCCCATGAACGAATACACCAGACAACCGCAAGTCGGCTGAGTCTAGGTGTGGGCTGGAACCGTCGACGGACAGGATATTCTCCGTCGAGAGGGAGTTGACTGACAATTTGGAAAAGGGGAAAATGCCGTACACCATGAACCAAGTGATCCAGTGAGACATGAATACGACTCACACTCAAACGGAATGGCAGGTTGACAAGGTCGTTACAAAATGGAAGTTTGTCCCAGTCGATAGTAATAGTGCACACACGAATTCGACAGGCACCGTGCATACTGATAGGCAATTTGAATTAGTGATCTTTCGAATTGGTCATCGGTGCATCCACTACACCGTACAGTGTTTGAATACTCACTGGTTTTCATACTGGAACTAACGCATGCAACCGTCCATCAACTGGATTTTGTCTTGTAACAAAACGTTCCTGTCCGTGATTCGGCACTAATTGTATATTTTGGACGCGATCGAACTTAATGTTTGTTGTTCTTGTGACTCACAATTTTGTAACAGTTCCGGGGCTATTTTGTGCCCGTCTTTATTAGCCGTGGGTGTTTTACATGCATGCTCATCTTTTCTCGCGAAATTGACTCTTGTATTTGGCCCTTGTTAACCCCCATGTTTTTTTCAGCTAAGCACATACTTTAATACGGATACGGCTCAGTGAATTGAATTTGCGCTTTATTTTTTGTTCCTCATTTCTTTTCTCGTACGAACCTTGACATTGACCGTGTTTTTTGCGGAAAAGCTCTCGCGATTCCATTTTCTCCTCTCATCACCAAATGTGTCATTTTGTGCATGCAATTCGACAGAAAGAAGAAAAAGCCTGCCAGGTCAGGGAAAGGTGATGCTATACGGGGCTCTCAAACAGTACCTCGTGCTCACCCGAGTCAAGCAAAAATTAATGATGAGCCAGGCAGTATACATCCATCCGAGCATGCACCGAATACGTTGACAAGAAAACGAATCAGACCGACAAGGTGAGTCATCTGTGAAGTCAATTTTTCTACTGATTACGTTCCATTGTGTGATGAACACTAAAAGGAGATAAAGCCTATTGTTAAGAGGAATTTCTTTTCACTTACGGTAGCCAACAGTCAAAGATCGGAACCTCACATGGGCCCAACAGGATGGGGGATAGGGAGTGGTTGTATTGAACCGGGCATCAGTAAAGCTGGTGATCGCGAAAGTTGAATAGAACTAACGGGGTTCAAACCATATCCACTCTCCCCCGGAGCACACTGGTGACCGTAACCTAAACCACTTGATCAACTCCACTAACTATTTATTCTTTATAATGTATAATCATGAACTGACCAGTGTGTGTATGAAAGTTTGTGTATGTCCCACGACCACGAAAGAAACCACATGTTCATTTTCAACTTTTCGTCGTTTAGCAATTTATTCGCAAGCGTTTTATCACCAGCCAAGTTGACATCTCCAGTGGTTGTTGTTGTTGCTGAACATACCGGCGGTTTTCGATCGTGTTCGGCTTGCAGGTCCGCTGACAATAACTACCTGAGTTCCCTCAAGGGCCTCACCATCTTCGTCTGGTGGGGTAACCGGACGAGCAGTGTTGAAGTTAGGCGTAGAGTTTTAGGCAGTCGCGATCGTCCACTGGGGCAAGTGATCGACCTCCATAGATTACGTTGGTTGGGATATATGTCACGCATGTCACCAGATAGTTTGTCACGGCGAGCTATGTTTGCCGAGACAGGCAACGATTGGAAAAAGGCAAGGGGTGGTCAAACGAAGACCTGGCATAAGGGTATGAAAACCCTAACCAGGAGACTATGTCACGCAGGTCCCGTTAGGCTCCCTAGCTGGGGACCCCGAGATCATGGTCACCGATGGTTAGAGACACAGAGTGATATGGCTGGGTGTCGCCAACAGTGACACTCATACATCCACCCATTGTTCTCCTAACACCACTCTATATGAATTTTCCATCTTCCGCTTGAATTTACTCTCAATATTCCAATCTTCATCTTGCTCTTTTATCCAAATGGGCGGCCAAAAGACAGCAACGAAAACCTGCGCATGAAAATGCATGGTTAATGGTTGTAAAAATTTTACTGAACTGAACTGGTACTGTTTTGGTTTGTGTTTTGCCAAACTTGCTTTCCTCGTCACTCACTTTCCAACTAAAGACTTCGGATGGAAACCCCAAGGTTAACTCTGAGCAACTTTCGCAGTCTATCGATGCCCCATATGTTGTGGCCTTTTACCAGTTTTCATAATATTAGTTGCTGTATATATATATATATATATATATATATATATACGTACATCAAAGTAGACAAGATATAACTTATTGTCCATACCTAAAGCATTAATATGGATGATAAATATAATAAAACTCCCTTTGATCATAAAGAAAATGTTTTAGTGCATCACAATCGACCAGTACTGTATACATATATATATATATTTTTTCACTGATTTCATTTACGTTTGACAACGAGTCCTAGTTTGGATCGAAACGTTACAATAAACATTTTACAACTCAGTGTACACCTTCATTCTCTCTTGAAATATATATGTATATATAACATTTATGAAATGACCGGATTCGTTTATCCAAGTCTACAACTTCCAACTGTTTCATCAGCAACCGGAGTGCAATCTCCATTATCTGCAGTATTGTGTCGTTTACAACCTGATTCTCGGCTCGGTGTGCAATCGATTCAAGAGCTGCACGATCCGAGTTCGAAAAATAAAACCAACAACAAGAGCATTGTTATTTCGTGCTTCCCCCTTAAGGTTGAATCTTTTCAGCTCCTCCACCCAATCCCACGTCCAAACTCACTGCATGCAAAATCTCAATAGTCATATGCGAATTTATTCTCCATTCGCCTATGTTCCATCTTTCAGCAGTCTGCCTTCCGATGAGGTTAGAAAAAAATCGAAATTGAATCTCGCAGAACACGGCTCGGGTGGCAAACTAACGAAATCGAACTCCATATCAAAACAATCTGTACAGTTCAATCATAAACGGGCGAAATTCTCCGGAAAAGATGCACACCACAAGTAAGTTCAAAGGCATTCCTTTCACATATATTTATTGTTTTTTTTCAAGATATCCGCTATGATTCTCACTCGTCTTTGCCTTTTCCCCCACTCTCTTTTCGCATCCCTGTATTTAGCCACAATGCGCAGCTTGCATTTTATCAAAAATTGAACTTTCTGCTTTTCCATCAACCCCGCACCGCACTTAACCTATTGAATTTATTACTCCAAATTTCAAGTGTATTGCGAGATTCCGGGAGAACTCCGGGAATCGTAGATCCTCGTGACTATAGGGGTATCACGGCTTCTACTGATTATTTCACCACAGGCGCTTTCCCCACGTTCTCGGGGCCCTGCACATCCGTGACTCAATCAAACCGGTTACTTTCGGTAACAAGGCGGATTGGGTTGTAATCAGGATATGAAGGTAGAGTACGGGGGTTCTCGTCCCCCAGGTTGAGGTCCAGAAGAGTGCGCAACTGGTTGTTTGGAGACACTTAAGGGTAGGTCAGCAAACGGACAGTAGTGGCAATCTTTTTTTCACCTCCCATCGGACCAGAATGCTTGAAATTTCGTGTAAGCACAATTAGATTGTGTACTCTGTATGTTGACCATAGAGGTGCACTTTCCTTCCCTTTCCCTCAAAATAAGCCCAAACCCTGTCCTCCTTACACATGCTCACTTACCTTGTATTCATTTCGAGTTTGACAGCAATAATGAGGTTTGCTTCACTATATCTCGCTGTACGATGATGAACGAGGATTTTGCACTCCCCTTGATGTACGCACGTCGTTCATCTATGAACCTCAAGTCCCCTGGTACTGGTTTCTCTTCCTCTCACTTCAGTAAGAACGCATTCACCACTAGAAGCTAACGAGTAGGTCTCTCTCCATTAAGATCTTTTGACGGATGCACTTCATGGGGTCCTTTCTTTGAACAAGAATCAGGTCTCGTTCATTCTCAGGGGCTTTCTAAGCACGTACAATCGCGAATCGGACAGTTGCATGTGCTCACGTTACTATTCGCGTATGATGCATATTGTCACACACCATGAACGTAGTTTATCAGTCAATAGCCTCACTGTCTTTGTTCAAGACAATAATCTAGATTCAATATCCGACCACGTACGTAACCGGTACAGGTTATTTTACGGTCCAGGAGATTTATTTCTCCTCGATAAATGTGAATTTGTTTATCCATCCAAGGGATACCGGCTGATTCTAGGGAAAAAATGCCGAAACAGTCAGTCTATTTATCAATTGATGTGTCCATGTCTTTCCAACGTTGCTAGGTGACCGAATATGAAAATATTTCGATATGAACTCTGAGGTTAGCTGGTAGGGTGTACACGGGTGTCGTCTTTGTATCTATGGATTCCAATTCCACTGAGATCATCAATTTCTTCAAAATGTATTCGCGAGACATTGTTGTTTTTGTCATGCCAAGTGAATGAATAGTATTGAAATCACTGCATATTTGATTTGCGAATTATGTCTTTACTCCATTGACTCCTTGCTCATTCGGTGCAGAGTTCTAACTCAAGAGTCGTGTATCTGGCATCAGATCCTGGTCTGACGAATTTCAATACATCCAAATTCAGTGATGCATGAACACTGTCGAGTTGAGATGAAGCAGACTGTGTGGTGTCCTGAATCTAACTTTGGTCACTTTGATTGAAATGTACTACTGATGACTCTTGATTAGGCTCAAATAGCGATACGGTACTTTTTAAGGCTTTTCTGTGAACAGTCATTCATGAATTTTTCTTGAGGAACTCATATTTGTCAAAAATCGAATAGAATGCTCCGATAAGCCAGAAAGAAGCAGAAATAAAACGTGTCTTCGTATGTTTATTTCGATTGGATCTTTTAACTGTCTTCGTACAGCTAAATCACTCCACAGTCGACATCAAAGAATGTATTCCGCACAGATAAATCCCAGTTTCTTATGATGTCACTTGCTCCCATATTTTCACCCGATTCATTTATGTTTCTGCGTCACAACGTCCGTACCACACAAATTCCGTCAGATTATGATTCATGTAACATTGTCCACAGCGCTATCCAGTTCTCTTCCAAGTCAAGTGATCAAGTTGCCTCCAGTGCCAAGACCGCCAGTGAAACCAAGTCAAACGGAATAAAATCCTTCAACAAGTCTAGCTCGAAAAATAAACAATCCAGATTTAACCCCTACTCTGCTACCAAATCAGACTCGGAAATATGGTTCGATGATGTACCACCTGCACTCATTGCTGCCTCGCGTGGAGATCAGTCCGCTACCGGGAAAAGTTTGATCAAAGCTTCTTCTTTCTCGGGGCAAGTGCTCATCTGTAGTCTGTTTCTATCATTTTGTTCATCCACTTTATTATTATCATTATTTTTATTACTACTATTATTGCTATCATTACTACCATGAATAGCCTTGGTGGTTTGTTGGCTGAATGCAAAAAAATGCTCGTCCTGTGAACAGATTGAACACAGTGTTACGACTGGTGCAAACCAGTGACTTAGTCCCTTACAGCGGCAACCGTTTCATATCAGTTACATCCATTGGTGACTCGTTATTACATTCGTCCAATCCGGGAATGCTATCATTCCTTTCCATCTGTGTAGCTTCTCTGTTTTTGATTGTGCTGGAATTCATTCATTTTCATCATGGTCATTCAATTGTTTTCTCTCTGACTTACCATACCCAAGAAAAAAACTGAATTTTTAGAGAACTAAAAACTGAGACCTGCTTGCAGAGTCCAGTCGTTGTACATAACACCTCCGAAAGTCGCAGTATCGTCGGGGTGTGGCTGGTCACACTTCCTTTGCACCACGCGAAATACTCCTATACGCCCAAGTGTCTCAAATAGCCTCTGCTGAGGAAGCCCTACTTACTGTCTCCCAGTGGTGTAGGTGTTTTCCCATCAAAGTGAGAGGACGAAAAGCCGATATCCGGGGCTACAACCGGTCGGTGAACCACAGGCAGTTCACCTAGGAGAATTGGCTAAAAACTCTGATTCCAAACAAACCAAGGAGGGGTGTGCGTACCACTTACCCACACCTTGGTTGTGGCAGCGGTCACCGGCTCGACTGGGCNNAACTCTCCAAAGGGCGTGTGATCTGATATACTGGATACCGACCCCCAATGAATTGGGGTTTTCACACCACCCCTCTGCCTTTCGGATCAAGCTTTGGCTTCTCAAATACTTCGATTGTGAATTCCCCCAGGAAATTCATCGGCCTTGGCCTGAGCACTCTGGCAGTATCGCACCCAAGAGAAAATCCTGGAACTTTTTTCCTTTTCATAATAGTTATTGTACTGTGATTTGTTTGGCACAGTCTGGATTCAGTTGTTTATGTATAACTAATTTAACATAATGATAATAATAATAACATGATACTTAACTATATGTACACTGATATAAATTTTCTCGTATTGACTGACAGCTTCTAAGTAGTTAGCACCGACAGTTCATTCTCTTCAAATTTATTTCCGTTTTACTCTTTCAGACCGACACGTCGTATTGCGATTGATTGTGAGTTTGTTGGGGTCGGATTTGAGGGCAAAGAGAACGCGTTAGCCCGAGTTTCTATCGTCAACCAGTTTGGTCACGTGTTGTTAGATAGGTTAGTCCGTCCGGCTGAGCGCGTAATCGACTACCGGACTCGGTACTCCGGTATTCGGCCCGAGGACTTACGTCCTG